GGGGATCCAGTTCGATACCACTGTGCCGTATCAGATCCCATCCCTTTTTGAGGCTGTCAGTGGGTCCTGCTATCTTGAAGTCGTCGACATAAACGGACAGAACGAAGTCGAGCTTGTCATGTGTCCACGCGCATTCCCAGCCGGGAATTGGGAGGAATCCCACATGTTCGTGACTGGTGCGGCTGTGTCGTTCCCAGAAGACACCTGCTAGTGGGTGGCCGTGCAGAGCAAGTCGTAGACGGTGCGCAGGGTTCTTATACTTTGCCCAGGAAGATGGTTGTCTCCATTTGGGTAAGGTGATCCACGCTCCACTGGGCCAATGCGACCGTCACCGTGCAGCGGGGCCTGTGCGCATGCACCCGGAGCGTCGCTTTGTTGACCTCCGTTGCCAAGCAACAGGGCGGTGGCGTCGCACAGCTTGGAGGCCTCGATACGAGAGGCGCTCGAAGCAGCGTCGGCGAAGAAAACTGCCAGGCCGCTTTCTTTCGTCCTTCGTGTTGTCGCCCTGAACCACGACGCGTCCATTGTACTTCTGGAGCTCGGGTGGAAGTTCCGCGTGTTTGACCGAAGAGAGCTCCAGGATGTTCGCTAAGTGGACCTTTTTGTTTTCTGTGCCGGACGTTGCGTACAGCGCCGCGTTCCATCGCCGCGTCGAGCATCCATGCCTGTTTCTTTTCCAGGCGTTCGCATTTTTTTCCGAAGTGCTTCCTGCACTCGAGGCTCTGCCGCGACCTCTTTCTTGGTGAGGTTGCGGGTGGCGAGGTTGCGCGTGGCGATGTAGGGCCGTATCCAGTGGGTGGAGTCGAGCTTGCTTCTGTGGTTCTGTTTGTGATCCTGAACGCAAAGCATCATGGGCACCATGTTGGACTTGTCGGTCATCGCGTGCGACCGCGCAACGCTAGCAGGATTTGCATCCGGCGCTGGGCGGTAGTAAAGTACAGTGATGATGTCACGTGGTCCGTCGGGACGCAGCGCGTTGGCTAGGTCTGTCCGTGGCGCCCGCCACGGTCTCGTCCCTGATAGCGGCGCGGTTAAGGAAGTCGTGCGTGATGCGTCGTTCCACATTGGACCAGGGTGGTCCGTCGCCGTCGATTGTCTGAACTCGACGAGTGTTGTCTGTGCGAGTCCGGATGCGAAAGGCAGAATCGCGGCGGGCTTTCCGCGTGCAGATGACGTCCTCAGCGAGCTCCCGCTATGCCGCTCGTTCTTTCTGGGGCATCGTATTTCAAAATTCTGGTAGCACACAGTCAGGTCGAGGGGTGGCCTGGGCGCGAGTATCCCGACCAAGGATGTTGATCTTGCCGTCGGTGGTAATCTCGGGGCTCGGGGCGCCTGTAGAATCGAACGATGCCTGTCCAGGGCTCGCTGAGATGGCGGTGGTCGTTAGCGGAGCCGTCCCATACGTCGCGGAAGTATTTCTCCCCTTCGAAGCTCGACGTAGTTTCACAGCTGCGATTAATGCCGATCTGGCATAAGGATTCAGTGAGAGAGCAATGTCAGGAGACGCGTTCGCAGCGCGATGGCCGCTGCGGGCGTGGCCACCGACGCTGGCGTTAGCGAAGGTGGGTGGGTGGGTGGGGTGGGGGTGGGTGGGGGGTGGGGGGCGGGGGGCAGTAGGCGTAGCGCAGCCGGCGTCGGCTCCGACGACAGACGTGGCAACTGCTGGCGCGGCCACCGACGGGCGCGGCGTGGATTTGTCAGGCGCCGCGGGAGGCGAATCCAGTCGTCGTCGCGAGGGTCGAGGCGCGTGAGCGCGCGGGGGCGGCGGAAGCATCGGCGAATCGGGTGAGAGTTCGCCGAGCGCGGCCGCGAACAACGCGGCGCTGCCGTCGCCTGGAAGGGGGGGGGGGGATATAGGCGTCGCAGTTTCTCTCTGCCCTCTCCATGATGCCGTCGCGAGCATGCGCCGTCGAGAAGATCGCGCGCCCGGAGGCGGCGCGACAGGGTTGCGGCGCCAGGCGGCGGAATCCAAGATGACGCGAATTGCAGCGGCAAAGAGTGGCCAATGAAAGGCCGATAACCTGCGCGTATAGGGAGACGGCCGATGGGGCCGTTCCTATGCGGGGCCCGCAGGTAGAGGCGAGGGAGGAGTAGGACTCCTTTTCCAGGGCACTGCGCGGCCAGCAGTGCACAGTTGGTACTTTAGCCAGTACCTGAGCCAACACAGTTGCGGAATAAGGGATACAATTGGGAAGTGGGCGGACTTCGCGCGCGCTAGGAGACCCCCTAGAAACCCCAAGAAGCCCCGCGAGGCGCCCGAGACGCTCTAAGAGGCGCATGGGACAGCCATGGGGCCCCCAGGACGCTCCGACAGGCCTTCTCTGGGGGGCCCTTCTTCTGCGTGCTGTCCACTTCCCTGATCGTTGCAAATCCTTTGGGCGTCGTTTCTGGATGGGCTGGTGGGGTTGCGCGAAGCGTCTAGAATTCGACGAACAGCTTTGGCGTCTCAGGAATATCTTCGGAAATCTCTGCTGCGCCGAATGATGCCTCTGTCCAGCCGTCTAACATCGCATCGTACCTGGAGAGGTTGGCCAGCACTTCTGAATGCGACTTGGCCCCGTCATCGAAGTATTCGCCAGCGCGGCTCCTGCCTTGGTGCAGACGGGCCACTCCGACGAGATTATCCATCGCCCGGCTCTTCGCCTTTCCTGACCTCTAGGATGGGGGGCCTTTGGCAAACGACGCGGGGGCGCCAACCTTCTGCCAGCGGACTGTGGCCCGAGGTGGCCTGGACAGGGTCCTCTGCTGACTGCGAACTTCTGCAATCAATGTGGGTCGCGCGCGCGGGTTCTCGAAGTAATTGCCGCAGGTGCCGAGGTCCGAGGTCCAGTTTGCATTTACCTTCATAAAGAGACCCAACATACATGAACACCTCCATCGGGAACTTGAACGCCGCCAGTGGCCCATCAGGGCCTGCGCGCCTGACCCCCCCACCCCGGAAAAGTAGCGCGATGTCGCGCGGTTGCGGGGGCCGCAAATTACAAGCAAAAAGCGCGCCCTCCAGCTTGCAGCCCTGCCTGCGCCCAGTCCGCGGGCATGTGCTCCTCCCGCTCCTCGCGGAAGTAAAGGCTGTCGAAGCAGCGGTGCCAGACTCCGTCGACGGTTCCACGGGGGGATGTCCTGCTGAGAAGGGCAAAGCGGCTGCGCCTGACTTCTCCATCGGTAAAGATGACTGGCCGTGACATAGTTTCTAAAGAACACCTGCGTACATAATATTCTAGTGTTAGCCGCTTCCGATTCCAGATCGCCCGATGGGGGGTCCACCAGCGACGCCCTGGATCGGATGTCTTGGGCTCGAGGGCGTTCGCTAGACGCGCGGCGGCGCTCCGCGCTGCTGCCTACCATTCCATATCTAGACCCTTCACGAAGTGCCTAAATACCTGAGCGTAGGGGACCCCGGCCAAAATGCACTGTGCACGACCCCAAATCCCCGACCCGCCCAAGAAACTTTGTCTGATCAGGGAAACATGTCGCCAACGGGCCCAGATAAGCTGGATCGCGCCGCCCCTGACACAGCTTGGTGGCATTCAAATTGTGGATGGCTCCCCAATAAGTCGATGGTTCGGGTTCGGGGTCAACCAGTACTCCTTAGCCTAACGTGTGGTCGCGCGTGCGTGGCGCAACGGGTCCTTGCTCGGATCCAGCGCGAAGGTCATGTCGAGGTCCGCGCCGCAACTCGTGAGACCTGAAAAATTGTCAGCCTGAGGTCGCATATGGTAGATTGCGTTTGGATTCCATCCCGCCACCTGTTCCCACAACAGGGTTTGCAGGCTCGGCCCCGCGAAGCCAGGTTGTGGAATTCTCGCGTTCCGGATTCCTGGCGCCTCAGATTTTGGGCAATCGGGCTCGCTGCTTGCTCCATCTCCCGTTGCGCTGTGCTTGCCAGTGCTGTCGTTTACACCTCGGTTCATCAGGGAAACATCGTGCTGACCCGCATATTGTGGTGTGACACTGTACGACATGACTCCGCCCAAATTGAACATGCGCTCCCACTCATACGTGTGTATGTCGAACCGAAGTGCATCCAACGGCAACTTCCCATCGATCGCAATCTGCACAAGCTGAAACTGTCACGCATGCCAATAAGGCCGTGAAGCCCGCACGCAGACTTAGGACGTGATGCTGCTCGCTGACGCGTAGGTATCCTCGAACATGCTGCCTCCAAACCGTATCAGTTGGGGATCACCACGCAGTGAATACAATTGAGTCCTGTGTGCTACGCGCCCAAATCTTTCAATCCTTGGAAATCCAGCGCGGAACCTTCCTTACAAATGAATGGTCGAGCCCGACTGGTCTCTTGCCGGACACCGGTTTGCGGAACAATACGATGATGAACTTTCGCATCCAGGACGCAAAGGGACCAAACGCGGTCATCAGGCACATAACCTGGCTGAGCACTGTTCGCGCCTCCTCGTACAACCAAAGGACATGTCGCGGGTGGAACCCGTCCGCTGCTATGGTGAATGCTTCTAAACATTTGCGTAAATGTCGGATGTGTTTTTGGCCCGGTGGTTTCGCATGAATGATGCCAGAAGGCCACTCCAAAATGTTGTTGTCCTTCGCCTCCCCCGGAGTCCACCCCCACCTACACCCACCCCACCCGTCCTCCAATTACTCATCCCCTCCTCTTCTTTCTTCCCCTCTTCCGCCCCTCTCCTCCCGCTCCTCCTCTTCCTCCTCCTCCTCCTCCTCATCTCCTTCCCCCCTCCTCCTCCCCTTTCTCCTCCTCCTCCTCCTCCTCCTCCTCCTCCTCATCATCATCATCATCATCATCATCCTGCTCTTCCTCCTCCTCCTCCTCCTCGAAATCGGCCCCAACGATCCGAAACTTTGTTTTTTTTTGAACGCGGGGTCACCAAATGTCCTGATCCTTGCCCCGGGGCCGCCTCTTCATCCTGAGCTGTTTTCTGACCCTGGGGCCCAGCGAAGGCCCTTGGACGCCGACAAAAAGCTAAACAACAACTCTGCCTTGAATTGTTCAATGCGTTGGGGGTCTGCGC